CGAAGCAACAGAAAACCCGCCTCCCGCGCTCGCCAGCCGGGCTCTGCTCTAGGAAGGGAGCTCTGGCAAACCACTTCCGAAACACCTTGCCTTGAACACTGCAAGGACTCGTCCAAGCAGTCACTGCAGGGTCGGTAACGACTGAGCGCAGATTAAAAATAAATAAAAAAAAAAAAACAGCTTCATGAATAAACTCAAACTCTCTGGATTTACACAGTATGCTAAGCTATAAGCCATGGTTATAAACCATAATAGTTGGATGCACAGATTATATCAGAGGTGTGTACCATTACCTTCAGGAAAAGCTTCAGGAGGAATTTTAAAAATCTTGTTATTTACTTTGACTTCCTCTGCCCTGTATTCAGCTGAGGGGAGTGCATTCTTCTTGCATAAACTCTCCAAGATATGTGTGGGTTTGAAAGCATCTCGCCACATATTATAGCCCTCTCTGTAACAAATGAATAGATATGGGTGTGTTACATTGCAACAAGTTTAGACTAGATATGAAACTGGTTTATTAGTGCTGGCATTCCTGCAGAGCAGAAAGCACTGGGTCCTAAGCTCTGTTGACAAAGTTACAGAATGCTCATAAAATGATGAGAGGGATTGACAGTCACCTGGATTGCTCCTAAAATACATACGTGTCATATTGTGAGGCCACTCCACAGTTGGCTCTGTGATTGCTGTAGAATCGGTTTTCCAAGTCAATTTTTGTCTCCCCAATTAAATCATCAGATCCAACTAAATCATGGTCAAATATTGATATAGTGAGTTCTGATTCTATAGGGAAGGATATTGTAAGCTCCAGTACTCTAAAAAGGAGATAGAGAAAAAATATCAGTGGGAGATAGCAACTGAAGACAGAAGATAACAAAATAGATTCTGTACAACAGTAATTTTACTGCTTGCTATAGCAGCATTTCCTTTAACTTATATCTATAAACATAAATGCTCAAATAAAAGGAGTAGCAGTTAGATGCATCCATTGGCAGATTGATAAAGACAATTCTTTCATCTTAAAGTCCCTGGTCCACCTTCCTTCCTTATCTCATGTGGCCAGGTAACTATCAGACCCTTGCAATTGTTTCTTTTACTTTTTACTAGCAATTTACTTTTTTTTTTACTCCTCATTCTCATATTAGCCAGCTATACCTTCAATTGCCCTCTTTCTGTGCTGCAAGGTAATTCATTGTTTCCTTCTGGTTCACTGGTCATGTCAGCGTCCATTCCTGGAACACTTCAACTTCCTCATTTCTCTACATTATCAGTCCAACAGAAAGCCCCTCTATCAGTCCTAAGGAATCCACACATACACATTTAGCTGATGCATATTCCTTTATTTTTATGTCTACAACGAACCGGTACATTCTTCTGAAATCGAGAACATCTTCTGGTAAGGCAAGAATTGATTTAGAGAAGATGTAACTGATACAAGATAAAAACATATCCTTACTCTCCAAAAACTGGATTGAGCTGTTTCGGGATATATCGATCCTTGGTGTCTTTTTGTTGTTGGCCAATTTTAACCACAAGATAGGGATCTGCCTTGCCATTGGGATCTGCTGGTGTCAAGTTAGTTGCCTAAAGAAACAGTAACATGTGATATATTGACAGAATACATATTGTCGTATTGTCAGAATACAAAACCATACATCAACCGTAGGACAAAACAATTCAGCAAATTGGTGCGGAATCAACATAATCGAATTTCATGCAATTTGTGGTAAACCTACATCTTCCCATCTGAAAAAAGGCTTAGATTGCTTACAAATTAATTTTTTCTCAGGCAATTGCCTTGGAGAGTTCACAGTTTATAAACAACATCTTCCACATTTAACTCTCCTGTTTTCTCCCACCACTTGTTCTATTTTCGTAACAGGAAAAAAAATCTGCAAGGGAGGGGCAATCACATCACCAGGAATTCTTCATTTAAAAGTACCCAAACCTGAGAATGCCAAAGGAACATTCCGTTATAATATTTTACTCTTCAATTTATGACAGCACAGCACTTAGGAGTACAGTAAATAAGTCATGGTTTGAATTGAAATAATGACAGAATCTCTGTTATTTCAGTAGATTGTGTTTTGGAAATCAACCTATCTACAGTATAGCTCAAAAACGATGCCCATAGAAATATTAGAATCCCAAATCAAAAATCTGTATTTATGGATATGAAGTCAATATAAAAATACTTACTTTGACAATATAAATTCTGACAAGGACCTTGATGGGTCTATTTCTGGGGATGCCTTGGGAGATCTTGTGTTCTGCTCCTGCTTCTTCAGCTCGATAAACATAGAATGAGCCCTGAAGTAAAGGGAGTTAAGAAGAATGTGCTACTTATGTAATCCTTTCTAGTAATTTATATTTTGAAAAGCCCTACAGCTGAAAAGAAGCTATTTACTTCCCCTCTGTACTACCAGAATATTTCTGACTGTTATTTATTTATTTATTTATTTATTTATTTATTTATTTATTTATTTTCATTTATTCAAATTGGATGCCACCCGACTCCAACCAACTCCGTGCAGCTCATAATAGAGTAACATAAAAAAAAAATACAAACAATTAACCAGAACAAGTACAAAAGTAAGTACAAAATACTTACAATACAGCAATCCAAACAAGAAAGCAAGCATAAACGTTGCAAACAGGGGAGTCCCATCCACCCTACCCTAAGGCCTGGATAAATAGCCAGGCTTTCAAGGCCTTCTAGAACATCATCAGGGTAGGAGCCATATAGACCTCAGGAGGGACCTTATTCAGAAGCCAGAGAAGGCACACTTTGTGGGTCCTGAAATATGATACTGTTTAATCAAAGGTGACTTGGAACTTGCCCACTCTGCCAGATCATACCAGATTTGTAACAACTGTGGAAGATAGGCAGTTCCTCAAATAGTCAAGCCCTATGCCATGTAGGGTTTTATAGATAATAACCATCACCTTGAATCACACCCAAAAACACACTAGCAACCAGTGCAGCTTGTGGAGCAAAGGTGCCACATGGATATGCCATGACAAGCCCATCACTGTTTGTGCCGCTGCATTGTGGACCAATTGAACCTTTGGAGTGATCTTCAAGGGTAGCCCCATGTAGAGTGTATTGCAATAATAGATTGTGTTGCAATAGGCTTTTTTCAGATTAGCAGTTGTATTCCCAAATTAGGATTTGGATCCAATATTACCTACTGCAAAAGGAAGTTTACCATTTGTAAAAAATACCTCCAGACTGTAGCAACAGGAGATTGGGACCAAGAATTATGGAAAGCACATAGCAAAGATACTGGGTGATCATTCCATTAAAGTCAGTGAGGCTTACTTCTTATTAGGGAATAAGCCTGAACTGTGAAACATTGACAGGCCACTATACCAAAAAATTAGTCAACTCAGGATTCAGAATAATTATTTGGTCAGTAATAGGAATAAAATTGCTGGCAATATTAATATACTACAAAATTGAATAGTTCGTTCTACATTATTGTAATTAATCTAGGTCACTTGATTCTTTACAAATACATTTTATATAATAGCAATAAATATGATTCAAAGTGCTCCTACCTTGTATTTCCCCACAAATTTTTCTTCCTCATTCCCATCTTCATCTTCATTAGCTTTTCCACGGTGAAGTGGAAAAATACATAACCAGTCCTCAAAATTGTCAAACTCATTCTCTAGTTCTGAACTATAGATCTGGAATAAAATGCATACTACAGTAACTGAACACAATCTGAACAGAACAGAAAAATTAATGCAATCAAAGACAATTTTCGTAGTGACAAATTCTGTGTTTGATTCCATTTTTTTTTTTTTTTGCTGTTTATCCTGCTCCTTTTTGTGTTCTATGTAATTCCCATCAAAATTCATGTTATCAATGAGTTATGGGTACTAGTTCTATTTCAACAGATAACATTTTCAGCATACAGGTGATACAAGATGATCAGGATTCCACTGCTATACATGACTACATATAGAATAATGAACAACACTGAACTGAACTAATAATATAAAGGAGGGCTAGGCACCTTTCAGCCCCAAAGTCACATGCAACTCCCCCTAACCCATTTTCTGCAGTTTTTGGAGCCCTTTCTGATTATGGTTGACTGAAAACTGGTAGCACATTTTCTGCCATGTTGAGGGAGAAAACATAAAACTGTAGCATAAACTCAAACAGATTCAACATCATTTTAAACAAATTTAAATGTAATGCAATTCTGTAAAAAAACAGACAAAGAAACAAAATCCTGGTCATATTGCTGCCTACGACAGAGCTCTGCTCTTTCTGCTCACTGCTCTGCCCATCTTTGTCCTCACATTTTTCCACAAATTGTAACTCCAGTCATCAGCATGTTTCCAATAACAGCTTCTTTCTATACATTACCATCCTAATGTGCTGTACTTTAATTGCTCTTGATTGCATAGTCATAACTCATGATGGCCAGCGCTTATGGGGCTTGGTCCAATATATTTGGAAGAGACTGACTCATGGGTGGCTGTTGTACAAAGGATGATGATAGCAGTGATGTACCTAGCCTGAACTGAATCTCATAACTGAACTTGATATTCAACACTCAGTCAAGCAGCACTTGAAGAATAATTTAATAAAAACACATGGTTGGAGATTGGATACCCTTAATGATCTGATTACTTCTTTTTACATCTTTTGTTGTCTTTTTTAACACTGAGACCTAGTGATTGAGATGGTATACAAAAATTGTAAAATAAATAAAGAAAATAAATGTATATTGTGTGGGCAGTCCATTTGATGTTTTCATTCACAGCTATAGAGCTTCATTTTACAAAGATGCAATTTTCCTTCATCACAGCAATATACAACCTAAACAATCACATTGATGGTTGTACTTTATTCGTCAGCCAGAATCCCTTATTATATAGAAGTCTTTGCATACTTATTTTTCAGTGTGATGTACTGTATATACCTGTAGTGTTATCTTAAATTGCCGTAATTATTTAGTACATATGCACACCATTCAAGAAGTCAGTCTCTATGCAAAAGAATAAAACGGGCACAATCTGATATCAAAAAAGCAATATTTAAAGCCAGTAGGAGAACACTGCAACTTCCCAGAAGGACATATCATTAGTGACTAAAGAACACTTGTCTGAAATAGATGAGCTACCATTTATGAAGAAGTTCAGTTCTATCATCTATTGCCTGAATCAGGATTACAGATTTTCAGTTCATTACAAACATTAATTAGCTGATCAAATACACAGATGCTTGTTTTATCAACAGTACTGTTTTAGGAATAGCCATTATTATCTTTATATTCTTTACTTTTTACATTTTATTTTCCTCTGACTTGACTGCTTACAATATCTCCACTTTTTGCAACCGCATTTTAGGATGCTCTCTCATGAAGTGGATTCAAGATCACATACACTTATGCCACTGTATGTTTTTTTGTTTTTAAGGTGCCACAATACTCTTGGGAGTTTCTGTTTAACAGAAGAGGCATGTGCTATTTGCAGAAGCAGAAGTATGGACAGTAGGACACAATAATCAGCTACATCTCTACTTAGCCTGCTTTACTGGGCTTTTAGCTTCAGAGAAGAGAAAGAGATTAGACAACATGAACACTGATGCTTTATCATAACAAGTTTGAATGGTCTCTCTGGCATAACATATGATTAAATAAATTCCTTCTTCTGTTCCTCCCTCAACATTTTGTAATGTGTAAGGAATCCATGTGAAGAAATTGGTAGAACTGCCTCAATAAATGCACTTGATTTACCTAAGTTTGTAAGTGATGTCAGTCAGGTAAATGAAATATGACAACCGTAGTCTCACCGAAACCAATAAAATACACTCTTGTATAACTTACAACAGGAAGACTTACTTTTAATGTTGCTATAAGTTTCCTTTTTGGACGAGCTGGCTCAGCTTCAACAACTATTTCATCTTCTACATCCTCATCAAGAGAAGCTGCATTCAGATTCCCTCCATCTAAAGAAGATACTGAGAAATTAAAGGGGTATTCTCAGCTCACAGTGTTAGGTGCTGGCTGTAATGATTCTGAATAGTCCAGTAAAGGCAATGATTTAATATACTTTTTTGTTTTCTCTACTGCCAACCATTTTTATTTCCATTTAGAAGGTGGAAACACAGGAAAATAGTTAATCAACAAGGAGGGAAACCAGAGTGGTTTTTTAGTGGTTTCTTCTAGTAGTTAACAGCAAAAAATAAGTTTCATCTATGGAACAATGACTTGGCCACATCTCTTTTTCTTCTCCCAGAGAGAATTATTTGTATGGCAAGAGCCTGTTCAGATAGTCAGAATCAGATGATGCTGCAAGTACTTGACACTTCAGAGAAAGCAGAAATATTGGGATAGTGAACGGAGGTTGCAGGGGATAAACTACTGGCTTTGTGCTTAGTTACAATTTCTATTCATTCTGTAGTTTTGCGCAAAGACAGTGTTGGTCTCTTTCCTGCAAAGGAAACTGAAACTTTGAATAGGTAATAATGTGGAGAAATTTTGTCCTGATAATTTTGTCAATGGCCCTTCCCTACCTGGTGTCTGTCAGAGGAATATAATTCCTATTGAGTTTGCTAGTCATGGAGGATGGAAGGTGTAAATTAACACATTGGGAAGATATGGAGTTAAGGAATGCTGTTCTATAGTATGGCTAACTCACCTGGGTCATTTGCATCATCCTCTTCTTCATCACTAAGGGACTGCAAAAGAGAATGACCTTTAATTGAGTTATAACAGATGTCAGACTTACCATTCTACAGACTTACCATTCTACAGTTTTCTAATGTGAATTTTACAGTCAAATCCCAGAAACTAATAAATTCTGCAGTCAAAATATTGATTACATAATAACAACCTATTAAGGATAAGGATATTCAGCCTTTTTTTTTCTTTTCTCTTCCTCTAATTTTAAATTATTTTGTGAGTTTTTCTTCTTACCTGTTCTGTAGAGTTCTTATTAATAACAATGCAAAGTTTTCATAGAGCTTGAAAAAATGCTGCCAGTGCAATCCTATACAGTAATTAAGTCACACTGACAATCCTAGTATATTGGTAAGAGATTACAGTCCATCTCTATTTGGAAAAGTAGCTAATGCATTGAAGAGCAAAGACAGAAACATGGAATTGTGAAAAAGAAATTAATAATCTAAATTAAATCATCAGGTTTCTTGAACTGTTGATAAAAAGTTACTGCTGAGGTATTTTTAGACAGGTGATTTCTAAGGCTATTAATTGTTCACTGTCTTTTGCTCATTCACGGAGTTACAATAAGAAAAGGGAAGAGAAATTATGGGAAAATATAATGATGTTATCCAGACCCTTGTAAAGTTTCATGAATGAGGCAGGGTGATTTTATAAAACGCTTACCCTGAACCCAAAGATAAGAATATTAAATACAGCACCAAAATCATAAAGTTATCTGTTTTATTGGATTCAGGTTATGCTACTGGCTATCAAATGAACCTAGTTATTTTGAGCAGATACTAGAGAATATACCTTAAAGATAAAACTTATAGTTAACCAGAAAGAAGAGTAGAGCACTCTAAAATCACAAAGAAATGAAATTATTATTCATTATTATTGTTTGTAAGGTATATGATTTATTCTAGAACATAAAATATTACTAGTCAAAATGAGACACCCTCTTGCCCGTGATGATGACCTATCCTTCTGAACTTCTTCCATTCAGATGTAAATATCTTTCATTTTCCTGAATGGATTAATTTCTTTTTAATTATATGTGCTTTGCACTTCTCTGCTCTAGTCTTTTGCTTTACACATTAGCCTCACAAACTGAAATATCCTGGATTGCACGTGTTTCTTAAATTTTTGGTTTCCTTAGAATAAGGTATTGGTGGCAAAATATATTTTTAATACCTGTATTAATACCACACTGTATTATAACTCTATCTGTAGTTAGTAGGAGTCAAGCCCAACCTGAGGGTATCTTTACCTTTTCATCTGCCTCAGAAACTACAATCCAATTTGTAGTTTCTTCACTAAAGATTTCATTACCATCTCCTACAGCACCTGACTTTGGCTGATCTAGAAATATAAGAAGGGTCAGCCCTAGTTGCTACTTGAATGGAGAGATCTGAGAAGACTAGGGATGTGGGTTAGATTTGGAGGTGTAAAAAACAACAACAACAACAAACCCAGAAGGTAACAATGGCAAATACTTCCATATAGTTACCAAGAATATTGCACAGATGTGCCCATGCAAGGCATCAGGAGATGACCTCCACTTGAAAGTGTCTATTTCTTCATTCTTCCAAGTGTTAGGAGCTAACCACTAATTCCCTAAGGCTCTTTACAATCCAGCTATTCCTTAAATAAGAAAATATTTGGCAGCTATTTTACTTAGCAAAACCAGACCTATTTTAACAGATTTTACTATTTAAACAGTCCCTCTATCTTCTAGTATCCCAACATGACTATTATAGAATCAGTGTTAAAAGAGACCTTAGGTTCATCTAACTCAGCCCCATATCACATTATAATATAATATATGTTATATTATAATGTCTGTGCTTACCTGATTATTTAATTCTTTTAATGATTCATAGTACTTAGACCACCAATCCAGTTCTTCCTTCTCAGGCTTTTCCTCTTCAAATTCTTCCTCTTTTGGTATCAATTTATCAATAGGGAGTTTCTTTAGTGGTGCCTGAATATAATTGACATAAAGTTCCATCCATTATGTGCAAATGTAGAACAATCCTGTTGGACTTCTCCAACAACATCCAACAAGATTACTTTATGAAATTCTTATATCAATACTGAAGGCAATTGCAATTCCCTACTATAATTGTATACCACAGGGCCTATTTTGGCCACCATAAACTCAGATGTGATGGATGATGTTATTTCATCACTAGTGTTGAGGTAAGAAGGTTGTTGAGAAGATGGTCAACTTGCAGCTCCAAAGGGTCCTGGATGGAAGCAGATTATCGTGACCTCTTTCAAACCAGGATATAACACTGATCAAAGACAGTTTTGATTATGCTTTCTGATGACCTCTGGTGGGCTTAGAATGGGGGTAGTGCATCCATCCTAGCCCTCCTTTATCTCTCATCAGCATTCAGGGGTTGGGGGGAGCAATGTTTTATGTTGGTTCTCCTCCTTCCTCCAGGGCTGGTTCCAGTCAGTGTTGGTGGGGGGAAAGTGGTCTAGTCTACTTCAGGGCTCCACCCTCTCCTGTTTACATTAGATAGTAAAGCTGCTGAGGGGAGTTATCCTTTGGCATGGGGTGCAGTATCATTAGTATGCCGATAATATTCAATTGTACATCACGGCCCTGACCATCCAAGTGAAGCTGTCAAGGTTCTATCTAGTGTCTGGAGGCTTTGCGGATTCAATAGGGAAGAACAGGCTTTGGTTCCACCATTCCAAGAGCAAGTAGCTGTGGGTTTGGGGCCCTAGGAATCTGGGAATTGGAGCGATTTCATCCTTGAATCTGGATGGGGTTGGACTGCCTCACTTGGATTCAGTGTGCAATCTGGGGGTCCTGCTGGACTCACAAGTCCTGCTTGAAAAGCAGGTGGCAGTGCGGCCAGGGGGTTATATATATGGAAAAGAGAAGGAATTCTTATCTTGTTCTTTATCTATAGAGACTAAATTGTTTGTTTTATGGGGGGAAGGTGACTTCAAGTCAATCTTGACTCCTGGCAACTGCCTGGACATGCCCCTGCAGTTTTCTTGGCAAGATTTCAGAAGTGGTTTGCCATCGCCTGCTTCCTAGGGCTGAGAGAGAGTGACAGGCCCAAGGTCATCCAACTGGCTTCATGCCTAAGGCAGAACTAGAACTCACAGTCTCCTGGTTTCTAGCCTGATGCCTTAACTGCTACACCAAATTGGCTCTCAAAGTATTTTAGGTTACCCTTTTATTTGATTGCTTTTCTTGCATTTCCCATTTATATTTCCTTCTTTGCCACTTAGTTTGTACCATCATATCAATAATTTTTCTAAAACATCCATGTGTGTATTATACAATCCATATTGCAGAATCTCTGTCAAAGTAAACCTGAAGCTTTGCTGCACTCACCTTGACAAGCTTGAGGGGATTAGCTTTGCTTCCTATGTCTCCAGCAACTGCGCCAATATTTATTACGGTCTGTCCAGCAGCTGCACCAATATTTATTACAGTCTTCCCAGCAGTTGTACCAAGGTTCATCACTTTTTGGGAGATATTTGGTTTAACTGAAGCTTTCCTTTCTGAAATAAAACATATTAATTATGTGTTTAATGCAAATACATACTTTCATTTGTTGTAACATTTCTAGGTGTGACCCATCAGGACATTCCTTTAGATTAACTGACAAAGTTAATTTACTAAGTAGATGCTATATTCTACGTATCTTAAATCCCAACACATTATGCTCTATTTCATTGGACAATGCCCTAAAAAATTGTAAAAACTCACTCTTTGGAGGGCTATCTGTTTCCTCTTCCAGCTCATCTACTTCTTTAGGAGCAAATTTCATAATAAGAGAAACTATGTGAGTTCCCACCAGGACAGACCGTCCAAAAGCCCTCTTCTCTACCACAAAGATACTGAGAGGTGGATGTAAGTATACCTGTTCTGGAAGCTCCTATAAAAAAAAGTCAGCCAAATCAATTACAGAAAAATCCATAGCAATTCTAAGACAACTGGTTTATTGTGATATGTTTCACAGAATTTCCAGTGATACAATAGCAGAAGTACACATTTCCTTTCTTGATCAGATTTCAAGTAATTTAATAGGCAGATTGCCACTTAGTCATTTCTACTGATAGTCCGGCATACAGGATTCTCGATGGTCATAAAAGGAAAAAAACAATATTTAACAAAAAGATATGCATGTGGATACTATAAAAGATAATGATCCCTCCTAGGTCACATTTCTACAACTCTAGCTTGTTTAGTTCCATTCCAATTATCTTAACTTTTGGGATGTACCTCCCAGTTACCACTTACCACATTAACAAATTTAACGAGTTCATTGAAATTTGGATTCTCTTTGTAAGCTGTGATCACTTCTGATTCCACTTTCTTTCCAGCACATTCAATTATCACCTGTGGCTGGTCAACCTCAAATAAGTTCACACGTTTCAGATCTCTCAGGCCCCAAAACAAGATCTAAGAGAGAGGCAGATAAATGTCTTAGGTCAGAACAAGTCTATGCATTCTCCTTCTCTAAAGGATTCCCAGTCTCAAATCCCATTGAATTGTCTAACAGCTGTATCCCAGATTATCAAACATGTATGCCATCCACTTTCTTTCTCCTGCTTATAGCACATTCAGCTTAAATTACTGTGGATTAATCTAAATATTGAAGACTCTGATTTAGAAAAATCATGTAAACTTCATAAAGAATTCCATAATTTCAGAGAAATGCCCCAGTCCGAGCCAATTCTCTCCAGAGAACCACTGTACAATTCAGTGTACCACTATGGATTCTCAAAACTCCAAGAAAAACTTTAAAAAACAGCAAAAAATTGTTGAACAGGTATATTAATGTATAGCTTCCCAGTTTCTTAATCTAATTTCTGCATACCCAGATTTAGCTGCAGTGGTAAAGCTTGCTATTACCCATACAATTCATTTGCCATTATTTCAGCACATTGATAAAGGCATTAATGTTATACTAACAAATAATTTCATTTTCTGTCCCCCTATCTGGCTAATCAATTTGGACAGGTAAATATTTGTTACATTCAGTAATTATTTTCATTGAATATCTTTTAGAAAAAAGATTTTTACCTCTATGCGAAATTCCTTAAGGACTGGGCGGATTCCCTCAGGAATAATGAATCGTCCAGAAGAGGGGTCCCCCAAATAGTCTGGGTCTTTGGGGTCTACATCATTAGGCACTGATGGCTAGACAATAAATTTCAAAGCAATTTTTTAAAAAAAAAACTTCTCCATGATCATGTATAAATAAGGTTATTGCCAAGAAATTAAACCAAGCCCAGTCCTATAGCTTCCTTGCTTTGTCTGAGCAACCAAATAAATGAGAGGGTTTTCAAAATTATTATTAAAGACAGTTTTTCAAGTTAGGAAGCTATAGCATTTTCTGAAATATTAACCAAAGTTTCATTGTTCTGAGGTCACAGAAAATTATGATTAACTAAAGACTCCTTGGTTTGTTTGCTAATTTACATGAAGAGAGAAGTGATGAAGCTGTATTGGTATGCAAAGTCTCATTTATACAATATGTTACTTTATTAGCCAGAAATGCAGTCATTCAAGCATGGTCTTTATATGACAATTGCTATCATAATCAGTCATTATCTTAGTGATAGTATCCAAAATGGAACTATCACATGCTATTTTTCTGGAAATGACACTTTCTTACCCAGAAATATTTCCTCCTAATTGGACACTGGTTTTGCTATACAGATGAAAAGGCACTTACTGCATGTTAAGTTGTATTCAGTCACTATTTTATTGTGTTATTTCATAGATTGTAGACTACAATCTACAGTAGCTCTATTTAAATCTTATCATAGCCTTCCATAAAAGGCCTTGACATCAGCACTACAACATCCTGCTACAAAATTAAAAACTACCCTGTTGAAAACATGGTAGATGCAGGTCTACTTATTATGGTCAATATACTGCTAAAAATATACATTATTGAACATGCACCTAGTGTCTAGCAGGGATATCCTCAGGCTATTCATGTTTCCAAATTCAGCAAACTCTAGGTTTAATGGACTAATGGGTAGGAATGAGTGTCCACTAAACCCAAATCTACATTAAGGGGTTAATTGGATTTTATATGCACAAAATAAATGGATTTTGTTCATTATATCCAAAGTCTGCTAAACTGAGGTTTGGTAAATCAAGGGTATACTGTACCTCCTTGCAAATCAGGTGATAGCAGTGAACATACTTACCTCTAAGTAACCACTATAATCCAGTTCAATCAGCTCAAATACAGCAATTAGTTCCCCAGCTGATTTATGTCCCTTATAAATGTCAAAAAATTGGAGAGAAGGTTTGCTGTAAGGCTCATCTACTAGCTTCACCTGTGGGGTAACAAAGGCTCGACCAAGGAACTCTGCTGAGCCCTATAGAAAAAGCAAGCAACAGTTTAGTACATGCTACCAAAGCATGGAGGGGCATTTTAGAATACAGGGGTCTATCCCTAACAGTATCAGATCCCTTACTTCTAAATTCTGCCTATGCTTATGAATTTCATGTAGAACAGTGTTTCTCAACCTCAGCAACTTTAAGATATGTGGATTTCAACTCCCAGAATTCCCTAGCCAGTATGGGAGCTGAAGCTGGCACATCTTACAGTTGCTGAGGTTGAGAAACATTGATGTAGAATACTCTTGTAGCTGAGTACCACCCTAGCAAAAGATGCTGCTGCTTTAAGGAGTCCATTTTTAAAGTAACTCTTCAAGCACTTGCAACCTTTTTTCAGGCTTTTGTAGAAACCTGGAAAAAAGTTTGGCTCCTTTAAAGAATATCAGAGAGGTATAATACTTATGTGAAGTCTGGACACTAATTGCAAACTATTTTTGAAGCATGCAAAGCCTAATATTCAATAGTGTTTATGACCTGAATAGATAGTAGCCCATCCCTGTTCTTGTTCCTGCCTCTGTTTTTTTTTTTTGCAGTGTGGAAGGGAAAAAGCCAGTCCTTTCTAAAAAGCTTGTAGTTTTGATCTCAACAGGGATTAGAGAGAGCTGCTCAATTTAGAAAACCCAGTGAAGGGAGGTGAGGCTTTTAGGCGTCTTGACTTCAGTCAAGCCAAAAAGCCAAGGTGGGGGTGGGGAGACAATGGGAGAGTTCTTGCAGTGGGAAATTGCCCACCTTCCAGCTCTAGAATTAATACTGCAAAACATATTTATAGCATTTCCTCCTATACCACAGCTGAGCCAGAAATTAACTGACTTATCTGCCAGTGCCTGATATCTGAAGAGTGTCTAAAGTACATCAACATCATGAGAATGCAGGATGAAGTGCCAGTCCTAGATTGATGCAAATATCATGTGTAGAGGTTGCCTTAGTCATGCAGTTTCCTTCAATCAACCTAAGTCATCTGGAAATGACAGTCTGCAAAATAAAAAATTCTTGAGGATGCTGCATCTGCCAGTGGTTCACTATGTGGTAGCTCAAGAGAAAGTATTCTCAACACAATCTCTCAGGTTATGAGGTTTCAAATATGATTGCCAAAGAGCCTTCTAAGCTCTTGGCATGAGTTTAAGACATATCTGTTCATTCAGGTCCTTGATTAAACTCATGGTGCTGGGCCTTCTGATTTAGTTCAGTATTGTCTTCTAATGGTTTTAAGCATGTTTTTAAATTGAACTATTTAAAGCTTTTTTAAAATTGTTCCCTGCTTTGGAATCTCTTTTTAGCAATAAGAAGCAGGTTTAAAGGTTTATAGAGAAAAGAAATATACTCTAACTTACAAATTTATTGTAGTCAAAAATATTGACAATAGCAATTGGAGTCTCTGTCTTCAAATCTTCTTTCTTTCCATCAATTACAAGCTGGTCATACAGAAGTAATTCATTCCACATTGGACTGAGCGTCTCTTCCAATACCTGAATTAACAAATATTGAAGTTATTGACAGTGACAGAATAGAGCTGATAAGCTGATATCTTCCATTCTAATGCACAATCACCCAGACATACACTCTGTTCTGGTACTCTGATAAGCTCAGGCTGGGAGAATAAATGGGTTTTTACAGTGTTTCTCTTTATATGAAAAACATCATGACACCTATCTGAAGAAGCAGAGATCATCTGTTGATGGATCATACTCCAGAAGAAAATAAAGGAAGACAACATCCTGCCAACTTTAGACATTGCCAGCCGAGCATCATTAATACCCCTTGCTTAACTCTTGGGGATGAGACGGTGGGTTAGAAATTGCTACCAGCACATGCACATCCACATGCATATATCCATATGCTAACAATGTTACAATCAAATAAATAGTTCAATTAGAAAAACTGACACAAATAGCAATAAATTACTGCCATATTCCTGTACCTCTATGGCCAAATGAGGTGATGGGTAGGCATGCTTGTGTAATTGGCTACAAATACTGAATTTGTAGCTAGCACAGCTGAAGCTAGCACAGCTGAAAACAAAAAGATATTTGCCTATCCCTGAGGTTACAATTAAAAGAAGATCTTTTGTATGCTGAGCCTCATGACACTGACACTTCCTATAATTATTTAAGACCGATCTAGGTAAAATGTACAATTACATACTGTATGTCTTTTCTCCAGCATTCTTTTTAGAATTCAGGAACAACCTGAAGCATCTGTGAAGGAACATTTACATTGGTGGTATTTCTGCTCTCTAAATTCTCAAAGAGTTGAAGCTGATCAGTGATTGTCTTCATGGCTGTCAACCTTAAACCATTGAGAACATCATATTGCTCCCTCAGAGCTAAGCCAATAGGAGAGTGCAAAGAATGGCATCCATTCAGTGTCCTGCCTTCCTCCTGTGCCTTTACTTTACTGAATGTTCATTTTATTAGAATTCTCAAAAAAAAAAAAAAAAAGGCTAGGCAACTTCAAAATGAGAAATTGCAAAACCACCAAGGCATTACCCCTCACCTATATTTAAAAGACCTGTAAAACTTAGTGGCTGAAATTCTATGGGAATGGGGAAGATGGGAGCTTGTATCCAGGAGCTGGGGGAAGAAAGAGGCAAATGTTCCTACTAATGTGGAAATGTTCTGTCCACAAACTCTGCAGAATTTCAGTGTTTTTAAGAGGAAATCACTTTCAGTGCAATCCAGATACACCACAGCTGATCTGAAAATGAGTTAGTTCAGCCACTGAAGACAGATGGCTAATTTAGACTGCACGAATGCAGAGCTGATTTTGGAGTGATGCAAACAGCACATATGGAAATGTCTTAAGTTTAAGCAGTGGCAAAGAAGAGTATAGCCTTTTCTTCTCTATTTTTTCACTAAGGGTCATTCCCACATTGATTTACTTCTGCTTGAAAAAAAAAATGTCTGCATTTTCCCTTTTCCCTTAATGAAAAAGTATGGAGTGGGCAAGGGGGATTGAAGACTGAAATTTGGAATAGTAATAGGAAATATTAAATAGGGTCAAACCCCTGGTTTGGTAGCCAGCAAATCAAACAAGTAAGAATCACATGGATTTCAGAAACACATGTATAACACTAGTCTGGGATAAAAAGATAATCTTAAAAACTGTGAAGCTAAATTCCCAGCCAGATTTATAATGAGTTAATTAAGGTGAGTCTCTCTGAAACATTTCCTTCCCACAGTTCTCACATCTAGGTTGTGTTGCCTCTTCTCATGTAAAATGCTCTCCTCCCCCATTCCTTCCCAGTCTCCCCCTAAGTTCTTCCAACTTAAATTCTACTCAAATTACTATCACATTCTTTAAGAAGGTAAAAGAAAAAAACCCGCACAATTGGAAAGACACCTTATAGATAATTTTCTCCCATGTGAACTCCCTCAATCATTTGAGACCCTTCTAACCATCAGAGGTATAGTATGGCAAGAGCAATGGTAATATAATACAAATATATTAATTAATTATATGAGATGTAGAGATGAAAGTGTAGAACTAGGACTGGAAATCTCCAGGTTCTAGTCTACTGTCAGTCTTACTCAGCCCAATTTATCTCACAGTGTTGTTCTTGAGGGAAAAAATAAGAAGAGGGAGCACTATGTACACCATCTTGAGCACCTGAAGGAAAGGCAAGAAATAAATCTAACAAAGAAATAAATGTGATGTAATGATTCAGGTGTTGAACCAAGACCAGGAGACCCTGTTTCAAAACCATCCTTGGTCATAGGAGCTCACTAGGTGATTTTGGGCCAGTCATTATTTCTGAGTGCATCTCTGGGAAAAAAATGGGAGGAGGAACATAAGAGCATTTTGATAAACTGAAGACTAAAGATTATGTATTAATAGGTGGGAAGAGCAGTAGTTCATTTAGTTTTAGAATCAGGGTGACTGTAGAAGGATCAAAAAAGTCAAGATGGCATGTAAAAAAAGGGGTGGGGCTTCAATCACATGATCACAGCTGCCATCTTGACATTTTGGACTACCCCACCCCCTATCAGTGCCCCTACAATTAATGTTATAAATAAATAAAAGAATGACAGAAACTAGAGAGCTGCTGTAGATGTTGTTGTAAAACAGAATTCAAACATTTGGCCAGCAGATAGGAACAGGATCAGTGCAGGTGTTCATCAGGAGGAAGTGGGGGGGGGGAGAGAAAGAGAGCTGCAATTTCAGTATTTACCTGCAGTGTTATTCACAATGTCTGCAAATATTCTTACCATTGTAGACTGGCACTGTGTTGAAAATACCACTCTTGCAAATGGATCTGAAAGGCCATTTTCATCAGCAGGAAGAATACCCCTTGCCTGATACAAATGGGCTCGAAGCTGAAAGTAACTGAAGTCTAAAAGAAAGAAGGAGAGAGAAAGTGTGCGGGAGAGAGATTAATTTTCCCCAGTACAGTAACTGCTTATATGTGATATCCACAGATTTCAACTAGGACTCTCTTGAGAATTACTGGTACTTCTCTAACTACCGTATTTTTCCGACTATAAGACGATACTTTTTTCTAAAATCCTTACCCTAAAAATTGAAGGGCGTCTTATTCAAG